TATAGGCGAAAATGAACAGTGATTTCCCCTACTCTCATCACCATCCAAACTTCATCGCATGGTCATAGTTGTCAGGTAGTGTTTCAATTTTCATTTTATTTTTACTAATCAGAATGATATGAAATTTGGAGCGTGTGTACATCTTAGTGAGACGCACCTAATAAAAATATAAAAATAATAATTTGTAAAATATAAATGAACCAAAATACCCCCATAAAATTTTGGGTATTTTGGTCAATTTATATTTTATGAATTATTTTTTTCATATTTTTATTGAGTACGCCTCAGTAAGATGTACACATGCTCCAAATTTCAAATAATTTGGATTTGTAGAAGAAAAAAAATGAAAATTTAAACACTACTGAACAACTGTGACCGTTCGATGAAGTTTGGATGGTGATAAGGGTAGTCAAATCACTGCTCATTTTTGCCTACAAGCGTTTTGTAGTATTTTCCTATGAACAGTGATTTCGTCTACCCTCATCACTATCCAAACTATATTTTCTATGGAACTTACCCCCAACCTAACTTCTTCTATCACATTTTAGTATTTTCCTATGAACAGTGATTTCGTCTACCCTCATCACTATCCAAACTACATTTTCTATGAAACTTACCCCCAACCTAACTTCTTCTCTCACATTTTTCTCAAAAATATACTTTTTATGCAATTACCCCCAACCAAATAAAAAATAAAAAAATACCTAAACTACTCTCCCTTAATTTTACCTTACCCTCGCCTCTCTCTCCTCTGTGTAGGTGTGCTTCGACATTGTGTAAGTGCGCTCCGACAGTGCAACACTCTGAAGTCACAACGCTCCGACATTGTGTAAGTACGCTCCGACAGTAGATCGCTCCAGCACTATGTAAGTGCACTCCGACAATGGATCATGCGCTCCAGCACTATGTAAGTGCGCTCTATTTGTGGAACCTGGAGTCACAGCACTCCGACACTGTGTAAATGCGCTCTGGCAGTGCAGCACTATAGAGTCACAGCGCTTCGACACTGTCTATGTGAGCTCCGACAATGGATCATGCGCTCCGACACTGTGGTGATTCACTCCGACAATAAGCTCAAAAAGTCAACATCAGAACTGGCCAAATTGATTTTTGTATACGAAAAAAGCATTTTTCTCTAAAAAAAAATTGAATTTTTTCCCGGGCATTTGCATAGAAAATGTATTTTTTGAAAAAAAATTTAGCTTGGGCGTAAATTACATAAAAAAATGTGGTCTCGAATGTTTTTTTTGTAATTTTCTCAATAAATAAAGGTTTTAAGGAAGCACCAGACTAGGACCATGACAACGAAACAATCCCGAATAATCCAAACTAACTTTATCCAAATCGATCATAGATAGCCTGCTTTTAAAACACTCGCAAGAGGGAACACAAGTCTATTGAAAAGGGAAATTGTTTCATGCAGGCTGGACCTCATGACTACATATACGGTCCAAAAAAAATATAAAGCTTCATAGATGTAAACAGGTGTTCTTTCTAAAAACAATAGAAACTTAACAGTCCAAATGTTCTCTTACTAGAATTATTATTTTTAATTTTTTAAATTTATTTATTTTTATATTCATGATCTCCGTACATATCCTTAAAAATTAAATCCAAAATATCGATCTCAAAATTAGATTTATTAAGAGGGCCGTATTTCTACATATGCGAGCTTGGCCGCATAAAAACGGGGTCCAATTGAAAATGCGGGGACCACCTTCAATTTCAACATTTATACAAGATGTGAGGGTATTATTGTCATTTTGGGTCGGTGGCCGTCGTCTCGAGGCTTCCTCGAGCATGCCTTTGTCACCTTCTAATGGGAAATTGCCCATCATGGTGTCAAACATTTTCTGTAATGCCCTTAGAATTTTACCTCCACTATGTAGTGAATAGGAAAGATAAAAACCTCTCTCTCTCTCTCTCTCCTCTCTCTCTCTCTCTCTCTCACTACTCTACTCTACTACTACGACTACGTACTACTACGTACTACGTAACGTACTAACGTACTACGTACGTACGT